AATGTCAGAATTGGTCAATGGAAAATTTGAACATTTAACAACACGTCCCCCCCCCTCACCCTGTAGTATAGGTATGTTGGTTCAGCTGCTTGCGAACCAAACAGAGATGAGTCGAGAATCGGGTTTAGTACAATATGCAAATGTTTGTCTACGGCAACTGATATAAAGTAAATAAAACTAAACAATTAGCATTCTGCCCTTTTAACTCCTTTCAATTTCATCAAAAAATTATACTTCAAAAACAAATTATATATAAATATCAAAAAAAATAGTTGAATATTTGGACAAATATAATTTTTCTGAATTTACATCAATATATACATTTTCTCTCATAGTTCAAATGAAAAAATGATAATTCCATTCCATACCGTGAAAAGAAGAATAAAAGTTCACACGAATAATTATGCAGTCTGTGTATGCACTAATTTTTCCAAGGCAATCATAGTTTGACATATTAATTTCATTTATTTTTAATTTTAATTTTTAATTAATCCATGTTCCATGTTCACATTCCTTACTTGGAGTATAGTGATGTTTGATAATGTAAGATTTAAGTTATGGTTAGTATAGGAAAAGATAATATAGAAAAATCAATAGGAAATGTCACACCAGAATTTTAGAGTAAAAAAGATGGTATTTACAATATTGTAATGTATTTCTTATGTCTTTGAGGGGACACATGCATGCATCAACAAATATCTATGATAAACAGCAGCAACAAGTAACTGGTGATAAATTACCCAATACTTGTGTCCAGCATATGATCACTATAGCCTGGAATATAGTGATTGTGCATGGTGAATTCTGTGTCATCATCGATTGCTGTTTGTTGCCATGGGAATACGTATGTGAAGACGACCTGAATCAGATCGATTCACGAATCTATTTTTGTAGATTTTTCAAAGTTTTTTTACGATCATAGAGTCTAGATGAACACAGGCATGTGCTCAGTAGTATAGCAACCAAAGAACCCAAACTCACTAATTTAGGCAAATTACCTTATATTGAAAACTTGTTTAATTTTATCTTGTGCTCCTCTTTTCACTGGAAATTAGACAGAATTAATATCAGTACATTTAATGGGGTGCATTTGATTTAATAATAATAACTATTAACTATAAATGTTGATTCTAGCCTAAATTTTTCAGGTTTAAATCTATTTCTGTTTATCAGCTCCCATTAAAGGTGCATATACTTTTTTTTGATACACTTGAAAAGCTTTATTCATAATATAAACAAGCTATCTAACAATTGTAAAGATTGTTTTCTTTTATTTCAGTAATACTTGGCAATAAACGAAGGTTCCATAGCACTATGTTCAGACAATAGCATTCTATTGGAGCTGAACTACTGTCCCTCCGACTGATTAACAGGAGATTATCTCCAATGCATTTACACGGACGAGAGCTGAGAACTGCCATAGTTCATTTCAGTTCGATCAGAGCCAAACAGAACAGTGCCTTAAAATAATCAGTATGGAAAAAAAAATGGCTGAAAACGATTTGGTGTCGTGATCGTATTGTTTCTTTACATATATGGCACAATGCTGTTGAGCTGGGAGATAAAAAAAAACAGTCACGAGTCTGAGCATGGAGGTAGAAAAGACGATGCACTGGTGTTATGATTTAGGTACTACATGTAGTATCTTGAATACCCGGTAAACCTGGAAACACAGCAATTGAAATGTGTTACAGCCTATTAGCTTATTGTCATCAGTTATTGTCATGCAAAATTCCCATTTTCAGTTCTGCATTTTGTAATTGTTCGACTGTTGTGATATGTGTAACAGTTGTCAATCAAAACCTAGTAAGAACATGTCGTCGTATTGTGACCGCATCTATGATTTTTAACTTTGGGGTTTTTAAAAAGTTTATTCAATTCCCATTGAATGCGTTCAGTTGTTCGTTCAAGTTTTTGTCGCATAATTTCGCACACCATTTTTCTGTTTCCCGGTGAGCTATCAATCTATTGCAGTATTGCTTTACTCTGCAAAATACTAGTAGATTTTAGGGCACCTACCTCTTCATCAAGCTGGAAATTGCGTGAAATTACGAACGATGTTGTCACTGCTATAATTGAAATGAGAGGTTACTCGAAGAAGACAATTGAGGGCATGATTTGGGCTCTAATAGTTGGGTATACACGGTTAAGGCCATGTCGGGGCTCAACCCTATCAGAATTCAACCCCAAGGGTTTATTGGAGCCAAACTTGGCTCTAGCCGAAAGCATATACACGCCATTTTTGCTGGCTCAAGCGAATGTCACTGCCTGAAACAATAGCATCGGTTTACATGGAAAAATACAACAGCAGGACCCTATTAGTGTAAAAGTTGCAATAAACTTATAGAAAAAAATACTATTAGTACTTAGTACTTAGTTAGTGAAAACTGCACCAAGGTAATGGTCAGTAGATGAGGTGAGTTAGAAAAGCGGGAAATGAAGTTAGATAGATAATAATAATAATTTTTACTGTCTTTTTATCATTTTTGATTAAATTTTGATTTTATTGAAGAACTGGCAGATGGTTGAAGTGATGAGAATTATGCATGAGTGGTTTACAGAAATGTTAGTAATAAAAACACTGTACAAAAAATAAATTGTACATAAATATAATAATACTGCCCAATCTCATCATATATAGTCTATACACTACTTTATGAACCACTGTGTTAAAATTCAAAATCCTTTTTTTTTATTAGCTCCCCTGTCGACTTTGTCGAGCGGAGCTTATCATATGAGTGATTGTCCGTCGTCGTCCGTCGTCCGTGTCAATGTTTTACTTTTTCGACTTCTTCTTGAAAACTACAA